AGGGAGGGAGGGAGGGAGGGAGGGAGGGAGGGAGGAAGGAAGGAAGGAAGGAAGGAAGGAAGGAAGGAAGGAAGGAAGGAAGAAAGGAAGGAAGGAAGGAAGGAAAGAGAAAGGAAGGCTTGTAGCTGGAGTCTTCTATCTCCCTTCCCTGGCATCCCCATCACAGCAGCTGCTAAGGGGCTGCATCTGGCATAGAGTAGGGACCTCAAGGGTCCCCCCCCCCATGTCCCAGCCCCATACAATGCTCTGCTCTGACCGATGGAGCCTGGTGGCTCCATATTTGTACTTTCTCGTCAGCTAGGGGAATGTGAGCCAGCAGCCCTGGGGCTCCTAGGCTTCTCCAAAGCTTCTGTAGGAGCGTGGGGGCGGCTGGGTCAGGACAAGACATGCTGGAGGAGGGTTGGGCAGGCATAGGAAGGTGATATCAAGTGGACAGTTCTAACTGTCCCCGCCCCCCTGGCTTCCCAGTCACTGAACCGGAACAGCGGAGAGACCTGGAGGCAGGAAGCGAGCACACCGGGCCAGTCCCCATGTCCCTCTTCCTCAGGCTTCATCTTTCAGCTCAGTGTGAAGTGGGGAAGGGCAGAAGCAAAGGATGGTGATGGGCAGCACGGCCTGTTTGTTGTGGGGAGATGCCCTTTGCCCCACAGGCCCCGAGTGCGAGTTCGGGATGGGATGGGGTGGGATGCCCAGGACAGGGCTGTGGTGTGGAAGGAAAGAATGAGAAGAAACAAGGGCGTCTTTGAGGCATATCCGGTGCCAGCATCTCCACTAAGCTCGTCCCTGTCCCCCTCCAGGAAGAGCAGGAGTCGGGGATCCCAGGCTGCAGAGCACAGGGCTTCCAGCTGCCTCAAAGCCTGAGCAGCGGGAGTCTTCTTGGCTATAGATGAGCGGTGTAGGAGAGAAAGAGCTAGAGCGTGGTGCCCCACACTGAAGAAAGAGGGGGCTCCAGAGCAAGATTCCTGTGGAGAATTCCCAAGATAGAGTGCTCCCACTCTTTGCAGGTCCTTGGGCACAGCGCGTTCTCCCAGTACTGGATGGCAAGGGATCTGTCTGTAAGTGGCGCCCCTTGCCTCTCTCTCGGCCACCACACCAGTACCTTCTTCCAGCTCCACACCTCCTGCCATGCCTTTCTCCTCCTCCTTCCTTCTTTGTTTTGTGAGACTAGGTCTTTCTATGCAGCTCAGATCCAGGACTTGCTGTGTAGCCCAGGCTAGCCCTAAACTCATGATCCTCCTGCCTCAGCTTTCTGGGTGCTGGGAGTACAGGAGTTCTCAGCTAGTTCACCCCTTTCCTATACGCAGCACAGTGGCACACACTTGTGGAGCACCACGGCGCCCAGGGCCTCAGGCCAAGCCCCTGGCTTGCTGGCTGTCACCGTCCCCTCCCAGGTGGCAGGCCAGGCTTAAAAGGGCAAGTAACTTGCCAAGAACGCAGGGCGGGCTCTGGGTTCTCCTCTAAGTCGTCTTCTTGGCTTCAACTGGCCCCACTTCCGTCTCTTGGCCTGTACCTCCGAGGGTTCTTTTTTCCCCTCATCAGTTCCTTTTCCTCTTCCCAGCCACCAGGTCTCCCCACCCCCACCGGCAAGCGCATTTTCTGTTAAAGCGTGAGCAACCTCTGTAAACCCCAAAGAGATACCTCACCGACACTTCTTCAAGGAAGGAAGAAAAAATCTGAGCCCTGGGTAGTTGAGGGACTAAGAGATAATCTCGTGTGTGTGTGTGTGTGTGTGTGTGTGTGTGTGTGTGTGTGTGTGTGTGTTTGTGATATGTGTATGCAGTGTGTGTGTATTTGTGATATGTGTGTTTAGTGTGTGTGTTATGTGTATGTAGTGTGTGTGTATTTGTGATATGTGTGTTTGGTGTGTGTGTGTGTGTGTGTGTGTGTGTGTGTGTGTGTGAAGACTCATAGTAATCCAGAGAAGGATGTTTTGGATGGATTGCAGTATTTCAGACTTGGAGTTGCTGGGAGCCTCGCTGTAAGTCGTGGAGCAGAACTGACACTCTGTTTGTTACCCTGCAGAGACTATCAGGGGCTGTCATTCTGCGTATGAACACCAGTAAGTTTCCAAAGGGAGAGTGTGGGAGAAAGGTTGTTCTAAGATTGGGAACCAAAGGAAGGGAGAAATTTCAGAAAACTGGGTGATAAAAGAACAATTATAGATGTAGTGATGCAAATACAGCTGTGCACATACATGCACCCACCCACCCACACAAGCAAATACACGTACATAGTACTCCCTGTGGCTGGGGATGGAGTTCGAGGTCAAGCACTTTCCTGATTCAGGAAAGACCCTGGGTTTGAACCCCAGCTCTGCCAACAAGCAAGACAAAACTAGCCTAACTCAAATCTCCACCTCTCTTTGCCATTCTGCTCCCACAGTGGTTTGACTGACAGACTGCAGAAAGCTAGGTCTGCAACCTAAACCCCAGAAGCCACAGATGTGCCCGCCCTCAGTTGGGAAAAGGGTCTTTGAAGATGTGACAGAACCCGAGGTGTTGATCTCAGACAGAGCGCCCTGCACTTCAGGTGCATTCTGAAGTGGACATCTGCCGTCTTCATAAGAAAGGGAGGGGGGCTGGAGAGGTGGCTCACAGGTTAAGAGCACTGGCTGCTCTTCCAGAGGTCCTGAGTTCAATTCCCAGCAACCACATGGTGGCTCACAACCATCTACAGTGGGATCTGATGCCCTCTTCTGGTGTGCAGACAGAACACTGTATCCATAATAATAAATAAATAAATATTTTAAAAAAATAAAAAAGGGAGGAAATTTGGACACCAGTATACCGAGGGGAAAGCCAGAGATGGGCACTGAAGCCATCAATAGTTGGGAAGAGTCACAGATTCTCCCCTAGAACCTGGGCAGGAGACTCAGTTCTGTCAACACCTTGATTTTGAACTTGTGGCTTCCAGAATTGTGAGGGACTCTGTTTCTGAACTGCTTGTTTTGTGTGGATCTGTGGCTCCATCAGCGCCAGGGTCTTGTTCATGCTAAGCATGCACTCTCCCACGGAGCGACACTCTAGCCCAGTTTCAGTCATGAAATGTGTAGTTACTATCACAGCTTTACTGACAGCTCTCTTTTTTGAACTCCTGCTTTTATCATATAAATCTGCTTCCATCACTACCCTGTTTAAAACCTCCACTGTGGGACAAAGTTCACGCTCTTAGCAGGGCCTTAGAGATGGGCACGATCCTGTGGCATAATCTCCTGGACCCACATTTATATGTCACACCCTGGCATTGTCAAGCGATCATCCTGCTCTGTCCTGCACATACACATGCTGGTGCACCCACCCACCGACCTACACAGTTATATGCATACACCACACACACAATACAGGACAGACAGACAGATACACACACACACACACACACACACACACACACACACACACACACACACACACACGGCGGCGGCGATGGGAGACAGACAGATAGACAGACAGACAGACAGACAGACAGACAGACACACACACACACACACACACACACGGTCCTGCATGGTCCCGCTAAGCTCTAGAGTTTGTGTGACCTTGGGCCAGCCCTGTCTCCTGCCTATGAAGTGAGAGATGGGACCAACGTGACGCCCTCCAGCTCAGTGGTTCTCTCCACACACGAGACTGTGACTTATTTCTGGACTTTTGTGTTTGGCGTCCCCTCCTTCCTCTGTGCCCCTGACATTGCCTTTGTCTCCCCTGTACTCCGCTGTCAGCTCTGACGCCATGGCTCCTCCCCTAATCTCCCTCTGCGTGGCGTCTTTTCCAGCAGAGAGGTGGGGCAGAAGGCGCCCCCCCCCCCTTGCTGTCTGCTGCCTATTTGCTCTGTTATTTGTCCTCTGATTACCCTAATGAGCTGCAGCCCAGATTCCTGCAGGGCAGGAATGCTGTGTTCATTCCTTCAGATTCCCTGGCATCTAGTCCTAGCGTCTGTCCCCAGACAGCGCCCCCCCTGGGTGTCTGAACAGAAGATAAAGTTTAGAAATTCATTGTTTCAGTGTGGTCATTAGGGTGTACCCCGTCTTGGGCTGGCTCAGTAGCTGGCTATGGGCTTCCTTAGACTCTGTCCTCCTCTGGGAGGCACCCAAGTCTGGTCAGGTCTGCACCTGCACTCAGCCCAGCCTCTCTGCCCAGGGGTGCGTGCTCACCCCTCTCCAAGCCTGACTGCCCCCTACCTGAGCCTTCAGGGTCTTCTCCAGCCACCGTGCACGATCTGCTGGGGTGGGACAGTGCACAGTGAGGGCACTGGAGACACACTGGAATTCAGTGAGGTGGATCAGCAGGAAGCTGTCTGCATGGAGAAGAAGCTCTGCTTTAAGGACTGGGCCTTATCTGACCCCAATCCCGACCCTTCCTCCTCTGGTAGAAGAGACATACGGGGGTCTCGTAGTGGTCGGCACACAAGTTTCTCCAGCATGAGAGGGGGGCGGATGACCTTGGCCTTGTCCGCCCTGCGCTGAGGCTTGGTTACCAGGAGCACATCAGAGAAGAGGAACAGGTACACATCCAGCTGCGAGAGAAAGAGGCAGGGTCAGCCGGAGCCCGGGAGGGGCTGGGCCGGGATCCTGGCAGTGCTATGGAGTGCTGGGGGGGGGGCATAGATTTGGTCCCATCTCTTGATTTATAGGCAGACAACAGGTCTGGCTCAAGGTCATACAAACAACTGGTGTTCAGGCAGGACCAGGACCATGTCCTTTTGTCCAGCCCACCACACTGTTCCATGGCTACCTTGTGTGTGTTGTGTATTACGCGTGTGGTATATGTAAGTGACTATGTGGGTGTTTGCACCAGTGTGCCCATGTGCAGGAGAGAACAGGATGCTGGGTGTCTTGCTCTATCACTTCCACTTTATTGCTTTGAGATGAGGTTGGCTGGCCAGGGAACTCTTAGGATCGGCTTGTCCTGCTCAACCATCCTGGGGCTACAGATGCAAGCAGCCATGCCTAGCTTTCTTTCTTTTTTATTTCAGTAATGTATGTTTCTGTGTGGATATGTGCATGTGAGTAAAAGTGCCCAAGGAGGCCAGAAGAAGGTTTGGATCAGCCCCTGGAGCTGGAGATATGGAAGTAGTATGCTACTTGACAATGGGTGCTGAGGAATGAACTTGAGTCCTCTGCAAGACCAGCAAGTGCAGCCTGGTGGTGGTGGCGGTGCGGTGGTGGTGGTGGTGGTGGTGGTGGTGGTGGTGGTGGTGGTGGTGGTGCACGCCTTTAATCCTAGCACTTGGGAGGCAGAGGCAGGTGGATCTCTGTAAGTTTAGTACTGGCCTGGTTTACACAGTGAGTTCCAGGACAGCCAAGGCTACACAGAGAAACCCTGTCCTGGAAAAAACAAACAAACAAACAAACAAACAAAAAACCAGCAAATGCTATTAACACCCGAGTTGCCTCTGCTTCTTATGTGGGTGTTGAGGATTTAAACTTTTAAACTTAGGCTTTCACATTTTTTTTTTAAGTTTGGGGCCAGTTTGGTAACCTACAGCTTCTTGATTTTTCTTTAAAAGATCTACCTATCTATCCATCTGTCTGTCCATCCATCCATCGATTGATCGATCTATCTTTTTTTGTTTGTTTGTTTGTTTTCGAGATAGGGTTTCTCTGTGTAGCCCTAACTATCCTAAAATTCACTCTGTAGACCAGGCTGGCCTCAAACTCAGAGAGATCCACCTGCCTCTACCTCCCGAGTGCCGGAATTAAAGGCGTGCACCACCACTGCCCGGCTGAAAGATCTATATATTTTTTATTTGATGTGTATAGATATCTTGCCTTCATGTATGTGTCTGCACACCACATGTATGCAGTGCCTAGGGAGGTCAGAAGAGGTGTCAGATCCTTGAGCTGGAGTTATAGACTGTGGGGAGCTGCCATGTCTGGGTCCTCTGCACGAGCAGCCAGTGACCTTAACTGCTCAGCCATCTCCCCATGCCCGGGTCCTCAGGCCTAAAGAGCAAATGCTCCCACCCAGCCACCTCTCCCAGCCCTGTTTCCAGCTTGCTGGCCTCTCATCCGGGTCCTTCCACACCCGGCTTCACCCTCACCTTCCCTTCTCGCCCTTCCTTCACGCGCACGGGTCCTTCCAGCAGTAGCTGCCTTGTGTGCTCCTGGGCAACCCCTAGAATAGGAGTCATGAGATCCAGGGTGGAGAACTGACGCAGGTTCTGAGGGAACAGAGGAAGCAGGAAAGGGATCAGGGCGCCATGCCGGTGTGCCTCTCCATCCCAACCCAGGGTGGCTCCTTGTGCAGCCACCAGCCCATCCTTTCTGTACCCGGAGCCATAGCAAACACCCCAGGTTTACCCTTTGGGCTCCTCCCACAGGAAGAAATAATGGGCACACCCCACGGTGGCGGTGGCACTCAGGTACAGCACGCGGTGGCCTCTGTCCTCTCCCGGCCAGGCTTCTCCTTTATCTGCTTTCCTGGAGCCTGGCATTTATGGAGCCCCATCCTCACCTTCTCCACCTCCTCGTTGGAGGGCTCTAGCACCTCATAGGGTCCTATGCGCTGGGCCGCGGCCGCCAAGCTCTCCTGCTCTTCACCCTGGCGGACCTGTCCGTTTATATGTCGCAGGAAGGACTCCACAGCTTCAATCTTGGGGTGCGAGGAGCAGAGAAGCACAGCTGAACCCAGCCTATCCACCCAACACTACACCCAACAGCTACAACACTCTAAAACAGGCCTAGTGAGTCAGTACCGTGTGAGGACCGAGACCTCAGGGACCTCTGGAGTTAGTCTTACCCCTCACCCACCAACCAGCCCCCCCCCCCCCACACACACACAAGGGCCGTAGCCTCACCTGAGTACCTACCATGGCGTTCAGGGCCTCCTGGGCTCGGGGCTCGGGGCTTCTCTTGAGCACAGCCTGCAGCAACAGTGGGTACTTGGTGATGCGCTGGTGGGGTTTGATGAGCAGGTCGCCCAGCGTCTGCCTTCCCGAGCGTTTGTGTTTCTCACACCACTGCCGGGGAGGTGGGTAGAGCTCAGGAGTCTGCAGGGACCCTCCCGCCTGCACCTCGAGTGGCTGCCTCAGCCTTGCACCCCCAACCGAAGCCTGGCATGACCCGGCTGAACCCCTCCAGCCTCTATGTTCCACGGCACCCCACCTGCACGAACGTGTGGAACGAAGGGTTCGTGTCCTGCTGCTCCCGGGCATAAGCCATGGTCTGCTTCACTCGCAGGCAGTACTGAACGTACGGCAGGAACCGCTGGCCAAACTGGAGCAACAGATAAAGGGCAGACTGAAGAGGGTCGCGGGCAGACCGAAGAGGGTCGCGGGCAGACCGAAGAGGGTCGCGAACAGACTCTGGCTGCAGAACATGGCTGCAGCCTGAGGAGAGAGAGCCTCACGCGGCCCCTCAATGACGCCCCGGCCAGCCTCTACCTCCCAGGATGAGCCAGGCCCCTCATTCTGTGCTCCAGAGAAGAACAGACACCCCGAGAGTCAGGCCCTGGCTACCCCTGGAGTTCATTCTGTCCTCAGGACTCGCTCTCTTTCTATCAATAATTCAACTCGACTGTTTTCGGGACGCTACGGCTCCTATTTCTATGACCTAAAAGGTATCCAGAAGCCCTGCTCAGAAGGAGGTGAGGGAAAGGCTCCCAGGAAACTGCCCTCACCCCCCGGCTTTTTTACCCCATCCCAATGTTTCCTGCCGGCCCAGAAACACCATAGAAAAAGTCTAGACCCAGCTGTTCTTTATCTCCTACCACTCCATGCCCACTCAATGCCCCGGTGGCCTTTTATCAGCCCCTCCGGCCCCAACTACATCCTCCCAGGCATCTCCTTGCTTAGGCATCATTCTTTCAAAGACTTTTTTTTTTTTTTTTTTGGTTTTTCGAGACAGGGTTTCTCTGTGTAGCTTTGCGCCTTTCCTGGAACTCACTTTGGAGACCAGGCTGGCCTCGAACTCACAGAGATCCGCCTGCCTCTGCCTCCCGAGTGCTGGGGTTAAAGGTGTGCGCCACCACCGCCCGGCTTCTTTCAGAGACATTTAAAAAAATTTTATTTTATGTGTATGAGTGTTTCGTCTGTGCGCACACTCGCACACGTGTGTGTGTGTGTGTGTGTGTGTGTGTGTGTGTGTGTGTGTGTGATTTGCATGTCTAGTTCTCTTAGGTTAGGTCAGGTCCCCTTGAACTAGAGTTTCAGGGGGTGGTGAGCTAGCACGTAGGTGCTGGGAAACAAACCCAGGGGTCTTCTAACTGCTGAGCCGCCTCCCCAGCCCTATGGGCCTCCTTCTGCACTCAGTTATTTGCTGATGGGTCTCAGAGGAATAGTTAATGCTTTATAGCTGCCAAGCAGGGCACACTTGTTATTACAGCACGTGGGAAGCTGAGGCGGGAAGGTCTTGAATTTGAGGCTAGCCTGGGCGACAATGCCAGACCCGGTCTTAAGAGAGAGAGAGAGAGAGAGAGAGAGAGAGAGAGAGAGAGAGAGAGAGAGAGAGAAGGAAAACAAATGAAAATTGTATAGCTGGTGAGAACACTCCCTCGTCTGACCCCAAGGTAGAGAGGGATATTTTCATTTCATGAGGGTCTCCAGAAGGTCACGCTTGTGGGATGGAATGGAGGAGATGAGGTTATATTTTAGAGTTGTGCCCCCTGGATCCTTTTGAGCTGACCTCATCCTGCTCTTTCTGGGTCTCCCCACACTCACTGTCAGGAAGCCATTTTGTAAGCTGACAGGGTCCAGAGGCTGGCCAGAGGTTCGAGTCTCTTCCAGGATGGGCTGCATCACCTCTTCCCAAAAGCTCCGGTGGGCTCTAATCAGGTTGGGGACAATTCCAAACAGGGTCTCAGCTGACACCTGGAGGAATGGGCAGGACTTATAACTGACCTTTGTGGGGTCACAGCCGGGAAGGGACAGGTAAGGACTTTCAGCTTCAGTGACAGGGCTGGGGAGGAAGCGAAAAGCCTGGCAGTGGCCTGGGAGACCCTCCACCCCTGTGGCACCAGGGGAGCTAGGGGCCTGCGGCCTGCTGGGGGTCTAATGCAAACGGGAAGTGCAGGGAAATCAGGGGTGTCCCAGAAAACGGGGCGTGGGAATTCAGCCTGCCCAGCCTGGAGGGCTCGCTGGGCCCCCCGCCCCCCCGGCCACGTTTCCACTCACTTCAGTCAGCAGTCCCACTCTCTGTAAATTCAGCAGACCAGCTGCCAGGAGCTAGAGGCGGGGAGGAAGACAGGCCTCAGCACCCGATCTCCCTCCTCCAGGGTCTCCCCAAGCCCAACGTCTTCAGCCTTCTCCTCCCGACCCCGAGCAGGTCTGAAATGATGGCCTGGAATCTTGCCCTCCAGCCCCCAGCCCGGCCCTTCTGCTCCGGGAGCGGGAGCGTGGAGATCATTCTAAGGACCCAGGGAGGGAGGAGATGAGGTTGAGGCTGAGGGTGGCTCACATCAGTCATGATCTTGAGCTTCCTCAAGTAGCTCAGCTCCGTGGTCAGGAGCTCCCACAGTGCTTCCTGCTGGTGGCAAAGCTCACGGTTCATCTCCTGAGGGGAACAGTGCTGGTTCACTTGGGGAACGCTGACAAGAGCAGGTGCCATCTGTTATGTGCTGCATCTGTGCCATGGGTTCTGGTCCTCCAACACAGGACCGTTTCATCCTAACCAGCCCTCTAGTTTGTGGGTAGCACCACCCCCATTTTCCCCATGAAGCAGGTGAGGCGTGGAGAGGTCCTCCGCCGCAACCCAGGCCTCACAAGTTGGTGGCAGAGCTGGGATTTGAACAAGATCTCTAGAGGCTTTCCCCTCGAGGTGCCGTATCCCGAGGCTTTGCCTTTCCCAGGGCAGAAGTGAGATACATGTATGCACGTGTGGAGGAGGGTCTGATGCATTATGGGGGCACAGACCATGTCAAGCCCACCTTGTGTCCAAGCACTAGCTCCTTCCAGGACTTTTCGATGGTCAGGCCACTGTCACCTCCCTCTCCTATCTCCCAGTGTCTCCGGTCCTCAGGTGGCAGGCGGGGCATCCCAAACATGCTGAATGTGTGCAGTCTCACCTCCAGCTCATGGGCCTTGACGACTTCCTGGGAGAGCAGAGAAAGGGATCAGTCTGACATATCCCCAACATCTGGTGCCCAGGCTCTGGAAAGGCTGTGTGTGCACACACATGCATACACACGTGTGCCTGGCACGGCATGAATAAGGTTGCTATTACCCAGGAAATGAAGTTACACTTCTGTCTGCAGAAAGATCCCTAGGGAGAGGGGTTTGAGGGGACCTCCCTGACCAGAATGATGCTTTCTTGAGGTTTTCTCACTCAGAACAGGGTGAAGGGCAGAGGCAGGTTTTTCAGAGTGGTTTTTCAGAATTGATTTTCTTTACTTAAAAACAAACAAACAAACAAACAAACTTCTTGGGTCATGCTGTAAATTGAACCCAGGGCCTTCTGCATGCCAGGCGAGCCTTCTGCCACTGAGATATACACACCAGACTAAGGAATCTTCAAGTAAGGACCAGGACTAGACTTAAGAAAGCACGGTCTCAGTTAATGGCGGCATAAAATGTACCATTTTTGTTTGTTTTTAGATGGAGACTTACTATGCAGCTCAGACTAACCTTGAACTTGCAATCCTCCTGCCTCAGCCTCCTGTGTCCTGAGACTATAAATGTGCATCACCGTGCCTGACTTAAAGTGGAGGTATTTGTGAAGCATCACGCCTTAAAATTTAGAACTGTTTTTGGTACCAAATGATGTGGGAAACAAAGAATTAACTCTAAGCCTCACTCAACCCTTAGTGTGACATGGGAGGACGTGGCAGGCTCACGGCTGGGGTGAAGGTTGATGGGGGAAGTAGGGATGAGTAGATTATCCCTGGTGCACACATTACTTGGTACTTTCCAAAAGCTGGGAGTTTAATATTAATAGTTTAGCCTAGCTGGGTGGTGACGACACACACCTTTAATCCCAGCACTCTGAGTTAGAGGTCAGCCTAGTCTATAGAGTGAGTTCCAGGACAGCCAAGGCCATTACCCAATGAAACCCTGTCTTGAAAAACAAAACACAACAAACAAAAAGTTTAGGCTCATGGGGTCCAGCACATTGGCCACACTGAGAGCCGTTCCCGAGATGGCTTCTGCACAGAGCTGTGCCTGTCTGAATTCTCGAAAGTGCTTGCAATCAGAGGTTCCCTGACAGTGCTCAGTTCTCGGAGTTTCTGGGCTTGGCTGTCCCTGGAGGCCATCATGGCTGGGGGTGTGAACACCGAGACGGAAGTAAAGGGAATCCTTACCTTGAGTTTGGGGGAGTGAGGTGGGCCAACCCCAAAATGGCCTCCATGCCTCTTCTCTGGCTCTGGTTCCCGAAGCATCAGAGGAGACAGGCCTCGAGCATGGCCAGAGCCCTTGGCAAAAGGGACATAATGCTGGAGGCGTCGGCGACTGGGGTCCTGGGGAAAGAGAAGACAGGGCAAGTTCTGGGAGTGCCAGAACTACTTAGAGAGGTAGAAGGGGCTGAGCTTGGCTCTGGACATTATCCCTCACTCCTGCAAGTCGGGCTGGCTCGTTTCTCTCATCAAACCAGTTTGGTGTGAGTTGTCGCTGCTTTGAGTCACAGTGGCTGCTGCCAGGGAGGGCAAGTTCAGCTGGGCAGGGGCATGCCTGCCTGCTTCCCCGGGAACCCGGAGGTAGCAGCTGAGGCCTCTTGCAGAGCAGGGGCACAGGCACACACATGCCTGGGCTCTGCAGCTCCAGCCCACCCAGCGGCACACATACCCTCTGTGCCAAGGGCTCGCAGGTGAACGATACATGCTCTGCTCTGAGTTCACTCCTTTGTGGACAGCTAGCCTCCCTCACACGTGGGAATGAGAGTTCATAAAGGTGCAGCCTCCTCCCTAGGGGCTGCAGCTAGTGTCCTATGCCACTGGGAGTTGCTGTCCTTCTGTGTGAGAGGTTGGATGAAGCCTTAGCCACAAGTCTCCTCCCAAGGCAGGCCTGGTCGGTCACATTCCTTGTCTGCCTTGGCCTGAATTACCCCACATACTTCCTAGTGTCCCTTTCTGCCCTCTGCCTGGGGTAGTTTCCATCTCCAGGGGTGGAATCCTTCAGGGAGGCAGGGAATGCCCCCAGCCAGAAGTGGACCTGCTCTTAAGGAAGCTCCGAGGGCAGAAACAGCGGAGGCCCTGCCTTCCACGCCCCTTCCTCTACTAGGCTTGGAAGTGGGCCAGGCAGATGGAGCCGGGGGGCGGGACCAAGACAATTCCCTCCACGCCCTCCTCCCCTGTGAGAACGGGGGCGCCTGAACCTTTGCTCTTCTTCAGTCCTGACTCAGGAAGCTTTTGACTCCTCCCAGCTCGTCACAAGCAGAGACTGAGAGATGTCTTTCCCACCGCACCGCACTGCACTCGGAAATGCCTTCCAACCCCTTCTCCGTGGGTGTGGCTCTTCTGTGTTCCCTGACCCTGCCACTCCGTTGTCTGGGGCTGGGTGTGAGGTCCTGGGATCCCGGCCCAGGCACGGCCCTCCTCTCCCAGCAACCCCGGAAAGCAGAGGAGGTTAAGGGACAAGAATAGAGCAGCCTGTGAAACTTTAAGGGGACAGACTTCAAAGCGTTGGTGTCCTCCCTCATGCCCCACCCAGGTCACCTTCCGGGCACAGGCGGACTCACCAATATAGGACCTCCTCTGGGATAGATATTCCCAGCAGTGCTCTGGGCAGAAGTCGAACGACGGCCCCCATAAGTCTCAATTCGGGAAGCAACCAGGCCTTGGAGGGGGCCCTCATTTGGAGGATCAAAGGCTTGCATTGCTTCTATACTGGGTCACCCCCAGAGGATCATAACGCCAGTGTCCAGGAGAAAGGGGGTTCCCTTTTCTGCAAGACAGAAAGCCCAGGCTGGATGAGTGAGGAATGTCTCCGTAGGTCAGAGAACAAGGGAAGACGAGGGGTCAGAGTGGGAAAGAAGAGGGCCGGCTGGTGACCACTTGGGGGAGGTGGGGAGTGCGATATCTGTAAGTTGGTGGGGGGAGGGCAGGTCCAGGTGCATGCTGGGTAGGAACATCTGCCTTACGTCTAGGAAACATTCCCACTTTGGCCTCAAAGGATGTTGTAGTCTCAAGAGCAGCTGGGAGCAAGGGTCACAGAAAATCTCTAGCACTCTAAATAGCCCCAGGTAGAAGGCGTCCTCTTGTACCTAGAGATACAGTGTGCTCTCCTGTGCTGTCTTTGACAACACCACAGGAACTCCGCGGACGGACGGGAGAGGTGAGGCTAAGGACAGCCAAGCGGGTCTCCCATGTTGAACAGACTATGGGCTCAGAATGGCTTTTATTTTCTTTCCTGGTTTGAGGCGGGAGGGTCTCATTACTTTAGTAACCCAAGTTGGCCTGGAACACACAGTGTAACTCAGGCTGCCTTTCAACTCTGGATTCCCCTGCCTCAGCTTCTAGAGTGCTGCGATCGCAGACATATTTCATCATGCTTGGCAACTTTTACATTTTTTTTTTAAATAGTTAAAAAAATAAAAGTAAAATGAAAAATGTCTGGGGAAAGTGAACAATACACACAGCTCTCATTCCGTGAGTTACAGCTAGCTTAACTACAGTACAGCCAGCCACCTTTACTGAGTGGCTTGCTGACCATGGCTACTTTTCTGTTAGTTGCAACTGAGACCCATCTGAGGTCAGAGAATCTACAACACGTTTTTCCTGTCCCTTTACTGAAAAGTCTGCACACTCCTTACCTGGACCCCCACGGCTGCCACGCTCAGCTGGTGAAGTTGGGAGACCTGTCAGATGGGGTCGTTAGAGACGAGCCTAGCAGAAGCAGCGCTCTGGTCTCCCACTAACTTCAGCCTTTTCCAGCCTCTGAGGACACCATCATGGAGCTGGAAGTCAGATGCAGGACTCCACCTCTCTCCTTCCCAAACCTGGATGGAAGACCCATCCCTTCCAGTAGGCAGGGCCTGGAGGGAAGAGGCCCTTAATGGGAGTTGGGCTCAAGAACACTGTACAGGGACAGGTTTCCCACCAAGTGGGCCTTTGGCTCCTCTCTCCCCAAAGTTTCTCTGACTTGGGCAAAGAGGAGGTTGCTCATTCTGTCTCCCGCCCCCGGCCAACAGTCCTGCCCCTGAGGTCAGCCCCCCACCTCTCCACCCCTTTAATATCCCTCCCCATCCTTTCTCAACCCCAGCTTTTCTCCCTCCCTCTCTCCCTGCCTCCTCCCCTCCTTCTTCTTAAGCCCTGCACCCTATCGCAAGTTCCCGGTTCCCTGCCCGCCGGGCACCCGCCCTCCCAGCGCTCACCTGTGCACGCAGGTGTCCCGGCTTCCGTTGTCCTCGATGCCTGCTGGGGCCGGTGGGACTCGGGGTCGTTGTCAGCCTCCTCGGCGATGACAGCCCCTCTATCCCAGCCTGGGACTGGGACCGAGCGGCCCGCGGGACCGGGCTGCACGGGGCCGGGAGGAGCGGCGAAGGTGGAGGCCGAGGGGCGGGACACGGGCTGGCACCTCCCCCTCTCTGCGGCCCGTGCTGCGCCGTGGTCGTGGTCACCTAGGCGGGGAGGACAGGGAGCCGGACTCCCGGACACAGCCGCCAACCACCCGCGGGCCGGGAGCTCTCACTTCGTGGTGTGCGCCCTCTCCTTCCCCCCGCCCCCCCCCCCCACCTAACCAGCCATCCGCCACCTGGTCGGGGCTTGGGGCTGGAACCTGTTCCACCCTCGCGCGGGCCACCAGCGCGTCCTCCCTTCCCGGCCAGACCCCTGCCAGGCGCCAGGGTAATGAGGGGTAAATGAGAGGTTGGGTGCCGCTAGGCGGAGGTGGTGAGGGTAATGACCAAGTGACTTGTGGCAGGTACCCCTCCCTCCCTTTGCACGCCCGTCCCTCTTTCCTGTCCTAGACCGTTAACCGGAGAGGAGAGGAGAGCCAGCCTGGAATATGGAAGGGCCTGGGGATCCTCAGCGCCGTCGCTGTCCTCTGGCCATGAAGTCCAAAGTGTAGCCCTTATCTCCAATGGTCCTGCCGGCCTGCCCTGGCAACGGGTGTAAGGTTCTGTGGACTTTGCTTTTGATTCAGGGTGAGCCAGGTGATTCAGGTGGCCAGGCTGAGCCCAGACCCAACACTGCTCTCATTCCCTAAGCCTGGAGGGAAGGGGAATACCAGGTGGGGGCCTCCTCCCACCGCACTGCTCGTGGGTGGGCCGGTGTGGCCTCCCTAAGGGCTACACAGACGGAACCGTCTCTCGAAAGTGGTCCTGCACTGCCTGGGCCAGCGTGAAAGGCTTTTTCACGTTCCTGAGTCGGGCCACCCGGTCTGAGGGATGTACTGGGTATTTGAAATAAGAGGTATCCCGTGGCTCTGTAGGGGTCCTGGGCAGGTCTGAGGCCCACGTAGGCATCTTCCTTCTGCCAATCGACTGGACTGGGTCTGACACAACCTCTTACCACGCAAAGCATCCTGAAGTCCATGAAACCCTTTCAGAAGTCACTTCCGAGTTCAGAGCAAAAAGCGCTCGCTCTGATTCTCACTGGCTCCCAATGGCTCCTTTTGGTCTGGAGGGGCATCTTTACCATTGGTTGTTTGAATCCATGATCCTGTTCTCAGCCATAGATTTGCCCTCCAGCGTCCTTTTTCAGATTATGATATGAGGTCTCTGGACCAATGGTTGCCTCCATCCTGCCTCCTGCCCCCCAGCTGGACTAAAGGGTCAGCGGTGTGTGTTGGGGGCAAGGGGCTGGATGAGAATGTGTTCGTCTGGTGTTTGTCTGTTCCTAGCATTCACACTGTGTGTTTGGGCGGGGGGGACAGGAAGAAGAAGAGGGGGAAGAGGAAGACATATCCAGGCCTGACAAGAGTAGTCATGAGGGAGGGAGAGAGTTAATGAACCAGTTGGTGATGATTACCGGCCATATTAAATGACACCCCAGAGACAGTGGATGCGGAGAACTCTCAGCTTCTTCTCCCACTGTTTACAAATGGAGACGGGAGGAGAAGGAAGAGCGACATCGGAATCGAGAAGGTACCAGAGAGTCCTGGGCTTGCATCTCCCTGGGGTGAGCTGGTGATTCCTCTCACAGATCCAGGGAGAGTTAACTCTTTCTCGTCCCTCAAGGCTGAGGTCCCACCTCCACCTACCAGTGCCTCAGGGCCTGTATCTAACCTCCCCGGGAGGGGAGAGGTTCCCAGACACAGCTAAAGACAGAGGTGTGGCCAGCCCCAGGTGTGTGGGCAGGCGGACTCTCCGGCTCTCTTGTTCCATTCCTTCTATTCTGGCTGCGTTTGGCTATTCTTTCTACAATTGCCCCCTTTAACAAGCTCTTCTGTGCTGCGAGAATAGACTCTGGAGGCAGGCTGAGAAGGGAACACAACCCAAGGATCTGAAGACTGGGATGCTGGCCTCTCTTGGGAGGGGTCACAACTGAAGACTGGGCCTCTACCGTGAGGGTTTGGGGGCCACTGGTCTGAAAGAGGGGAACTCTTGAATTCTTTTCCTTTTCGGCTTCCTTAGAAGTCCCTGGTATCCATAACATGAATCACGTTCCTTTACCATGCCTCAGTTTCTCCTCTGGGCCAGATGCTCTTCATCAGGCCCCCAGCTTGACCCCACAGCTGATGAGGAGTCCTTCTGGGATCCAAGCTTGGAGAACTGAATGGATCCTTCCTAAAGGTAACTTTTGGGCCTGGTGGTGGGTCTTGTGGGGGTTGACATAAAGACTCAAGAGGCAGGAAGGCCGGGAAGATGAGCTTGAGTCCTACCCAGTCCACACCTCTAGGGAGAGGCAGGCCATCTGAGTTAATGATGCCCTAGAAGTTACTAGCAACAGGAGGCGGTCAATGGGAGCTTATGTCTTCTCTGAAGAGTAGGGGACAGCCTGGGGACTTGAGCAGGTGGTGGCAGATCACGGCAGACAACACATACGATGTGGCCAGGCCACGGTGTCCAGCTGCTGCTGCCTTTTATCAGCATTGGGGCCTCCTGTTCTTCTCCTGCCTGCTTGCCTCCTGATCATGAGGGCAAGCTGTAATGAAGCTAGAGATAAAAGAGAATGTCAGACTCAAGGGGAGACAGCTAGAACACTGATAAAGGGAGACATAGAAGTCATGAGCCAGGAACTATGCACACAGGTTAGAGGGACCTGTTCCTACCCAGGGGAGACAAGGAAGGCTTCCTGGAGGAATTGATCTCTGTGATGAGACCACAGTGCTGGGTACAAAGTGTGCTGCTGGTAGGGCCACAGGGAGGACACTTCTGAAACCAAGAATGAACAAAGACCCCGTGGTGCGGAAGGGCATGCTTCGGCGAAAGCAGCCTGGAGCTGAGTGTGGTGGAGCACACTTGTCCCAGCTTCCTAGGAGGCTGAGGCGGGAGCACTGTGTGAGCCTAAACATTCACAGCCAGCTTGTGCAGCACAGTGAGACCCCGCCACAAAAACAAGGGAACGAGGTTAATGAGATGGCTTGGGGAAGAACAGTGGATGTTGACAAGTCTTACGGCCTGAGTTTGATCCCCAGGACCCACTTAATGGAAGGAAAGACTCCGACACACATAAATATAAATGTCAGGAAGAAAAGAAAAAAGGGCCAGCCGATGGTGGCGCACACCTTTAATCCCAGCACTCGGGAGGCAGAGGCAGGTGGATCTCAGAGAGTTCAAGGCCAGCCTGGTCTACAAAGCGAGCTCCAGGACAGCCAAGGTTACACCGAGAAACCCTGTCTCAAAAACAAAACAAAAGCAGAAAGAAAAAAGGAAATAAGCAAACAGGGCCGGGGTGTGGCCCGGTTGGTAGAGTGCTTGCCTGGCAGGCACGAGGCTCTGCGTTTGATCCCTGGCACCAGGACCAGCTGGGCATGGCGGCCTATGCCTCTTATTCTGGCACTGGGAAAACAGAGGTAGGAGTATCAGAGGTTCAGTATTACCCTGGGCTACCAGAGGCTTGTGTCCAAACAAACAAGAATATGGAAAGGAAAGGCTTTCCAAAGACTCCAGAGAGTCAGCTTCCATGGCTCCCTGGGGACATCTCACCTTCCACGCCCACCACCTCTGGGTGGTGCTGACTGAGGGAGCAAACCCCCTTTCTTCTGGTGTTCAAGGGCCTCCTTGTTGGATCCCAGCTACAGTTTCCATTTTTCTCCTGCTTCTCCCCGTGTGTCAACTTCCCTGAATCTGCCTCAGCTTTCCTGACGCTTTTGCTCAAGTCAGTGTCCCCCACCCACACTCACATCCTTCAAATCCCTCTCAGGCCTAGCACCCCCCCCAGCTGACACTGCTCCTGGTCACGGTGGTTTCTTCAGAAGTGCTGCTGTTTTCTTATTCTAACACCATAGCTGGCTGTAAACGTGTCTCGGCCCTTCACAAAATGCCCCTGAAGCAGGGACAGCCCCCTTGCACGAAGCTCAGAGTTAGCCTGGCCTCAGCATTTGGTGAATGGACTGAGCTGACTTGCTGCAAGGCCCAGGACATCCCATCTGGGGGGCACTGGCCTGCACGGTCACCTCTCTGTCCCTGCCCATTTGTTGATAGCTGGTGTTTGATTTCACAATGTCACTCCTGGTTTAGTGCTGTCACTACGGCCGTGGGCTGAGCAGGGTTCTGTGGATCGGGGTGCCTCAGCAGCAAAGGGGTTAAGGCTTTTTGCTGTGGGAGAAGATGTCTGTCAGGTCTAGTACTGAAGGAAGTCCGGGGCACTGTGGGAACGTGAGGCGTCTGCTGAGGGCACAAGGTAATGGAGGAAGTAAGAAGAGGAGGAACCGGGGGCCTCAGAGGCAGGGTGGCTGTGGGGTTTCCCCAGGGCTGACCCTGGAGTCGGGTGTCTGAGGTGCAGGCCTGTTCTCTGACTGGCCCTTCCTCTGCTTTTGACCTGTAGCCCCCAGAAGACTTCCAAACTTTCACCCGGACTAGTAGGGCATTTGTGTCTCAGGGTCCCAGTAAGTCCTCAGCCGTAAGGCTCGGGTGTCTGTACAAAACCTGTGGGGTGCTCCCTACCTCTCTCTCTGCTTCCAGTGAGGAAGCTTCCGACGTGGGAAAACAAACAAACAAACAAACAAACAAACAAACAAACAAACAAACAGCAGCAACAAACCCAAAGAGCATCAACAGTGGATTCTCTGTGGTTGCTGCTCGGTGCGTTCTCTTCCCCATGGCACCAGGGGACCACCAGGCTGCCCCTAGTGGTGCCTCCTGGAAATGACAATGGATTTGTTCTGGTTCTGGAGGACAGGAGTGGACAAGCCCTAAGCCTGTCCTTTTGGAGGAAGGAAGCCCACTAGGCTTTGTATTCTGAGGGCTGGCTGACACCCCTGAAGAGGGTCCCTGACTTGGCCTAACCACCTTCGAGGCTTCTTCCAGCCTGTCCTGGGAGACACATGCGTGAGATCTGATACACGCATAGATCACTCCTTCAGGACCCTTCCTCCAAGTGTTCCACCCTGTGCTGACGCTGGGTCTCCTGGGTTTCTGTGGCCGTAGGGTGTCCCCAGAGCCCACGTGAGTGGGCAGTTTAAGACTCTAGGTTAGTCCTTGAAAAAGTTTCCATAGCTAGGGTAGCTTTCCCCCAACCACGGCCAATTTCTGTCAGTCCTGGCCCTTGTCACTTCGTCAGAGGTCGTAGACCGGGCTCCTGGTGTGTGTGTCTCAGGGCCCACTTGTCAGGGAAGCTGACTGTCCCAACCTTCTCATTATATTGCCACTCCTTGTTCAGCCCAGGTACACAACAGCTCTAAATCATTATTTCCAGTTTAATTGGACAACCCTGAATTTCAGGAAGTTCTTTCTCATCTCTGCCCCACATTTGTCCGGCTTAAGCTTAATGTCCTCATGATCTGGGGAGTCCCTTCTCATCAGAGGCTTTCCTATGAGTAAGCCAAGACACAGGTCATTTTCATGAGCTCTGATTCTCTAGAAGGTTCTTCCACCTTCCTTCAGAGACCTAGTCCTCAGTGGAATACATGTGGGCTGGCAGTGAGGCCCCAGGCACCACCCTATATGTCAGGAACTGTTGTTGACGA